TCTGTACATGGGATCCGAACCCTCGGACGGGAGCGCTGCCGTGCTTCCCAAGCGGCGCACTGTCCAGTGCGCCACCGGGCCGGCCCAGAAAATCAATTATTTTAAGACCGTGGTTTTAGACTTTGCAGCTGGGTCTTCTGGTCAGATTCTGAAATCTTACCTCAATTCTGGGATTCCAGGAGAGGGAAGGGAGCTGTTTTTTCAAATCTACTTCTACTGCAAAAACAAGGTCCCCAAGTTCAGGCCTGAGTGTAGCCTTTACTTATGTCAGTTGCATTATCTTGGTGTGCAAAGGGTAGCGCCTTATTAGCAGGGCTTGTGCAGCATAACAAATATATCCAACTTTAAAGTTCAAAATTCCCATTGAACCAATATAGCATCAATTTATGATAGATAATAATGCCGTAATTTTTAAGTTTTGTTTTAGTTTGCTGTTGAGAATTATGGGCCTTTTTCTGCTTTCTTTGCAGCTGAAAATGAGTTTCCATTGCATTTCCATAGAGGTGCATATGTTTTTCGTCAGTGTTGAAAAAAATCCTATTTTGTTGCTTATAAGAAAATACCTGGAACTGGGTAATTTGTAGGGAAACAAAATTTATTGCTATAAGTTTCTGAGGCTGCGAAGTCCAAAGTTCAGAGAGCACATCTGGTGAGGGTCTTCTTTGGTGGTGGCTTTACAGTGACACAGGATATTACATTGCAAGATAGCAGAAGCAGAGACAGAGAGACTCTCACATGCTGTCCTTTTGAAGCCCACAGAACCATGCCCATGACCACCATTATTAATCCATTCATTAAAGCATGGTCCTCAGAATCTAATCAACTGTTCAAGGCCCCACCTTTCAATTACATAATAGGATTTCCTGCCCTCAACAGTTACAGGGGGGATTAAGATTCAATACATACAGTTTGGGAAACACAATTCAATCCATATCAGCATGTTTGTAAGTGTCCTTAATTTCTTTTTGGTAAATAAAATGTAGATTACTGTTAGAATAATCTAGAGGTTTATATTTAGGATAATCTAGAGGTTTATATATCTAATCCTCACTTTTGCAGATTTCTAATTAATGTGACCATTTTGAGTTTTCTTGCTGTTTCTGCCACAGCAGAATGTTAATTACCTTGTAATTGCCTGGTGGAACCTGCATAGTGGTGTTTACAGATTTTGTTTCAATATTTCCCTAAGACATTTGCCAAAAGCATATGTAGTGATCTGTTTACTTTAGTTACCCACTCCTGTCCTGCTGTGATACATTCACCCCTAGAAGTCCTGCATGTAATAAGTACATAGATTTAACTTTGCATAGTTATATTAAGTCCATATGCACTGAGAAACTTTTGGGTATAGGTGACATATTCTTCTGAGATGATGTAGACTATAAAATTCTAAAAACACTAGATAATGTAATCTTAAAGTTTATATTATGTTTTTAAAACATTAGTAAAATTGGTTTTGGTATGATGAGTTTCATGTTGTACTCATCATAGTTGAGAGTAGGTTATTGCTATCTTCAGAAGGGTGGAAAGAATATATTGGAGTATGGATCTCAGGATTCCTTATGGCAAAGACAGGAAGAAGTCATTTAATCTAATGATGGCCAAAGAATA